TGAGAATATGTCCATATTATGCTGTCCATGTATTAAAATCTGTGGAAATACAAGAAACTAGCAAAGGTGATTCCTACCTGGGATGGGATAGGAATTAGAAGGTAGTGAAGACTCCTTCCATTCTTTTATGCTTATAGATTTTTGACCACATGAATTTACTATCTACTAAAAAAAAATTAATTAAAAAAATATTCTGGCTCCCATCTGAGTTTCAATAGAGTCCAAAACACCTGGTGAGCAGATCTTCCCAAGCCAGATCCCTCCATCTGTCTGGCCCAATTTCCTGCTACATTTCTAAAAGACATTCAGGTTCCAAAAACCATGTGTGGAGTGCTCACTGGAGTCCAGGGATGTTGCTAACTGTAATTGCCGCAGCAATGATGAGAGTGGTCCTAGTATGCCCGCTGTACCAACTGAAATCAGGCTGAGCCGTGAAGTCATTTGCCCCAAATCTCACAAGACTGGTAAGCAATCCGATACCAGCTTTCTCATTCAACCCGTACGAACGTGTCGTCACAAGAGCATGACAGGAGATAGGCTCTAAGGACCCAGTGGAAACATTCCTGGCCTCTCTCGTGCCTTGCCCCAAACCCCGAGAAGACTCACAACACTGCAGGTTGGAAAAGGAGCTCAGAGAAAAGCCAGCCCGACCCTCGCCCCATGTGAAGGGCCCTGCTAACATGCAGCCTGCATTTAGGAAGCTCATACTTTGCAAGGCAGCTGTTTTTATGTTGGAAGAATTTTTTGATTTCTCCAAAACCAGTGAAGTGGTTAGGAATAGAGTGGAGCCAAACCTTGGCATAGCCACTTCCTGAGAGTGGATCTTGATAATGTATCTTAATGCGTCGGAGCCTCCATTCCTTCCCTGATAGACCGGACATAAGACCAGTCCCCAAGTCAAATGCTTGGCCGTAGTGGTTATAACGCAGCTCAGCAGGTGCGGTGATTAATGTCATTGCTATCATGTGTCAAGGTGTTTGTTATGAGCTGGATGTGCCTTCCCTGTTCAGGTTTGTTACCGTACCACATCATGGAACTTTTCTTGTTCTTTGGCAAGACAGTGCATTTTCAAAATCTAAAGACAATCTCCTTGTCCCTCCATCTCCATCCCAAAATTCTCCCTTCTCTGGCTGTGTAACTTCTACCTAACTCAACCCTCACACACTCTCTTCCTGCACACGGTCCTGCTTATTCTGGCATGTAGACCATGACAAGCATTAAGCATACAGTCTGGTGCCTGGGAAGTATGCACCAGCAGGGGTTTGCCAGCTGTGGGGCAGGATGTGGCTGAGCTGTGGGGGGCTGGAGGAACCTGCTGTGTCCCAGGGTGGGGGTAGAGGGAGTCCATTAGGCTTTATCAGGGAAACCACTCCCCATGCACACACAGGATTCAGCTTACAGCTCACCAAGATCAGGTTTTCAGCAGTCTCAATCAGCAGCTGCCTAACTCAGTCTCCAGGAACTGGGCCCTGATTACAGGCGATGGAGGATCTTACACTTAACATTTGAAGTCCTTTGATATGCAACACTGAAATCATGTAAAAAGTGTATTTTCAAGCACTACTAACCACTTCTAATATAGTCTTAATTTTTTAGATCTTCCTTTCTTAACCCTCTGCTGTTTTTCTCTTAGCTTCTAGTGGAGCCAAAGGTAACAGAGGGACTGACTTGCTGGTTCTCCACCAATATAAACAACCAACTTGAGGAAACGCTGCCATCTGGTTTATGCTTGATGCAGAGCCAGCAGGGGGCGCACATCCCACAGATTATTCTTCCTTTAGTTTATAGAGTCTAGCCAGCTATAGCCTACAAAACAGGCCACAGGTACACATGGAACATACACTCTTTGGTTACAATCTCAGGATGTGGAATCAGCAGGCCTGGATCTGAATCCCATTTCCAATGTCGGCTAGCTGCCTAACACTGGGAAGGCCACGTCACAGGATTAAGTAAGATAATGCACAGTGTTGGCTATGTCCACAGATGGTACCACTGCTGGTACTACTACGAGTGCTGCCAATGCTAAGGGTGGCAGAGTCATGAAGAAGTCTTCAGTGGTGGCAATGAAGACTATGTGTTAGAATGAAGAGTGAATTTCCAGAGCAGTGGTAACTAAGGGAGGCCACCCTGGACAGTGGCAAACTAGGCTCTCCTTTTGGCTTTCTTGTTCATGCCTTATCTACTGCTGGAAAATAGTACAGTGCAAGGTTCAAACCTGGCCACAGTCACTGACTATCTGAAGACAGCAATCTTTCCAAACCTCTCCTACAGAATGGAACAGAATTACCTACCTCACCGGGCTATGATGAGGATAGAAGAAATCACTAATGAAAAACAGTTAGCACTGCACCCAGCGCATTGATTTATTTATTGGCTTTTTGCCAGCACTATCTATAACCCCATGATTCCAATGAGCCTAAGCCATTATGGAGAAGCAGGGAGAAATGTGTGCATGCCTACATGGAGACAAAGATCTCCAAACACAGAGTTAAATCTGTTTGGGGACCTTTAATTATTTGTCACCTTTTGGCTTCCTTATCAAATTAACGTGCTTAATATTTGATGTTAAAGTTTTAAGCAGAGTACATCCACATTCATTTAAATGTCCCAGATGAATTATTTTAGGTGACTTTATATTTTCCTATAGTTGGAACCTTTCACATGCTACAAGTTTTTCAGTGTGACCTTGGTCCTGAAGTGCCATTACATGTTCACTATAACAGCACCTCATGTTTGCAAAATAAAGTACATATTATATAATCCGACAAGCTGGTGCCTGAGGCATCATCAAAGTGCTGTAAATAATTTTGTTAATTCTCCCCCATTTCAATTCCTCAGTCACCTTTTTCTCCAAGGGTTCCCTGCTTCCTCTAGCATAAGAACTCTCTTTCCGGACCCTCACATCTCCACTAAAATCAAATACACGTACTAGTCGCAATCTGCCGTGAATTCATTTATATACATTAAACTCATTTGTGTATCACTGCAAAATCAGGGTTCGTAACACAGAATGTTAGAAGCAACATTAACAAGTGAGACTGATGTTATGATTTAGTAAAATAATTTCAGAATAGTGATGCAGTTTTGGTTGGCATTATCTGATAGACATAACTTAAAACCATAATGTAACAAGCCAAAAGCATCAACATATGACATTTTCTGAAATTATACCTTTTTATTCTAAAGAGCAAGTAATTTTCACCTGTGCAGAAGGATCACCATTCCACATAAGCACTTAGCATCACCTCCCATTCTGTGTGAGTGTGTGCGTGTGCGCGAGTGTGTGTGTGTGTGCGCGTGCACTTGTTGGGGTGGTTACTGTTGTCGTCTCTACCTAGGAGGGAGGCTCCACTAGAATAAGGGCTGTTTCCTTTGCTGTTGAATCTCTAACACCTAAATCAGGGGCTGGCATGTAGTGTTTAAAAAGTATTTGTTGACTGAATTCCAATTTCTCTCAGTCCCCATCTTGGGTACCCTAAAATATAATTACTTTTCCAAGAGGCCCAGGAATGTTGACTTGCACTGGGCCTTCCGTTTGTTTTAGGACCGTTAAAGTCATGAATTAGAGTCGAAGCTACAAAGCCAAACCTTTTCATTCATCAGGGAAAGGCCATTCAGGGAAAGGGCATTGCCATCACCCTTCCTGTAAAACCACTCAGCTATGAAAAAAATGATCTAGTTGGCTTTCTCTTCCCTGTTTTCAATAACCTTATTTTCCTATACCTGCCTTAATAGGCCCAATGACCTACTTACATCGTCTTCATTTTCCCCTAATTTTGGAGCAGGCTCTATTTTTCTCCCAGCTGCCAGAGTTCACAACTCATAGACAGAAATGTCAGTGGCTGCACGGCGTTCCCCTGAGCCTCTGCTGTGGTGACGGCTGGTGGAAGCCTCTGCCCAGGGCGTCTCCCCCATCCTGTCACCAGAGGCTTTCCACCAAGCTCAAGTGCAAATCCTCCCAGGAGAGGTCACCCGTGAGTGTTCAGTATCTGCGTTATTCACAACAGATGGCGAAATCACTCGTGACACTTTTTCTAGTAACAGAACGACAGCAAGGCGGCAGACACACGGAAAGCATGGCTTTCAGTGGCCCTGGAGATCAGCAAGGTGGGTGCGATAGGGAGCACAGGAAGGGGTTGGTGAAGATTCCCAAAGACAAACTCACGATTTCTCCAGTGTTTGCCTTGGACTCGCCCACATGCAGATGCAGTGCTCATCCTCACAGCCAAGGAGTGGGAGTGAGACCAGGCCTTGGGCTTCCTGGGGGCAGGCGCCCATATGTATGGGAAATGATGGACCCGGCAGGGAGGGATGGCAGCACTCGAAGGGGGGGCAGGGGGACATCGAATAGAGGCCAGATGCCAACTTTCTTGGTATTTATGACATTACAATGCATTCTATGTCCAATTGCTAAAGTATCATCTTGTTACTTCTCCTTAAGAAGATAACAACCTGCTATCGTGAGAAAACATAGCTGCTATCTTGGAAAGGCAGTGTAGAATCCTGGCTAAATGTTTAGGCTTGAGTTTGAAAAACATAAGTTTGAATCTCTAATCCATCAACTATTAACAGTGTGACTTCAGGGAAATTGCTTAACTTCTGTTTCGTCATCTCTCAGACAGTACCTACCCTTATAAGGTTTTGATGGGGGTAAAATGTAACTGTATATATAAACAGCTTTGCTTAATACCAGTCATGTGGCAAGGCTCAATAAAGGTTAAATTTTACCAAATGCAAGAGCCTATTAAGGCCGTTCCCTTCAGCGCCAGTGTTCCCTGCAGTGTCAGGTCCAACGTATCCGAAAACGTTCAGCTCTAAATTCAACATAGTTGTCAATGGAAATACTTTTTACTTAATTGAAAAGCTGGTTGGCTATTCCTTTAGGTCCACATCCACTCGGGTTATCTGTCAGGCATGAGGGCAGGGGAAAGGATGGTGAAGGGGAATGGAAATGGACAGCAAATGCTGGATTTGAGGCACACCTCTCTGAGCACACTCACCGAGTCTGGGTCTCGCTGTGGTTCGAGGAAAGCGGAGAATTCCACCAGGCGAAGTTTGGTTGTGCCAATGGAGCGACCCTGCCAGGCAGGGACTGAGGGAGCTGGGGCTGATGCAGGCTCAAACCCTGAAAGACCAATCGTCACCTTTAATGCCGGCCATTTGCCTCCCCTTGGGCCGCAGGCCAATCGGGGGCAGGGCCCTACAAACAGATGACCCAGGAAGAAAGGCCGGCTACACCAGTGTCATGTGAGGTCGGGGTGAGACTCTGGCCAAGGACCCTGAGGCAGTGTCCTGATAAAGCGTGTGGCTCCCCGTAAAGACCACTTCAACTCACGCTATGGGCTGTGGCCTGAGGACACCTACTCCTGGACAAAGGGGCTGAGCTGGGGGCCAGGGCAGGACGGAATGAATGCTCACAAAGATCTCCTGTGAGGTTGGCACATGCCAGACACTTCTGGTGTTTCTCCGCCTCCTTTCTTAAGCCTGCAGCCACCGGCAGTATGGAATATTCCCTCAGAGTGCTCCGTGGTGTTGGAGCAGAGGGCATAAGCCTGGGGTCTGTAGAGGAGAGCGGCTCCACCGTCATTTCACATGCACGTGTGTGTGGGGGGAGCAGATACAGGTTTTCTAGTGTGGCCTTCCATGGCAGCTCTCAATTGAAGAAAGGGTACTAGGAACTGAAACCTACTTATGTAGGAAAGGGTGAATGAACCCCATCTGCCTTTAGGACCTAGATTGCCCAATTCGGCCTGTTAATGATGGGGAAGGAACCACAGTAACTTCCCCTTCCAAGGACGACCAGGGTGCTGAGTGAAAGTGACCAGGCTTCCTGTTTCCTTAAAAAAATGCATCTGAAGAGCTCTCTTGAGGTAACTGAGAGGAATTGCGGACCTGGAAAGGGACCCCCTGTGACCCTCCTAAGATCCAGGCGAACCCCGGCCTTAAACATGTGGGTGCAGAGAGGGCAGCCATGGCTCTGCAAGTCAGAGGGGACATGCAGCTGGGGAACAAAGTGAGAGGGAGCCCTCAGAGACTCACCTGGAATGGGGGCTGAGACTGCTGGCTGGATGGGGTAGGCCTGCTGCACGAAGGGCTTGACACTGGGGACAGAAGGATGGAGTTAGAAATGGTGCCTGTCGCAGTGGCTACACCTCAGTCCTGGCCTCGGCCTCCCAGGGCTAGGGACCCGGCCTGGGCTTCTCCCCAGTGTTAGGTTCCCTGCCTGCAAGTGGGGCACAGCCAGGCAGAGCTCCACCAAGACTGAGAGGGTTACTCCCGACAATTGAGGGGCCAGCAGGCTGCTGGGGACCCACCACCAGCTTCACACCAGGTCAGTGGGAGGAGCTGGACATCTGCCTCTGAACATCTCATCCCTCCAGAGACTGAGGTTCGTGGTCACCAATCCCAGGCATGGCTTGGGAATGCTCGCCTTCTCTAGGCCAAATAGCTCGAGTCCTTTCGAGAATATACGAGCTGGTTTACCGAGCCTGCTACCCTGGCCCTCAAAGCATCATTGGGATTTTCTATTAGCCGCCATACCACAGGGAAAGCCAGGGCAGAATGGGCTATGGAATCACCCCACTGCCCTCCCTCGGGCAGGCACTTTCTCAGGATGACCCTAGGCTTTTCCCTTCAGAGCCAGGAAGGGATTGGAATCCTCTTCCTGTTTTGAGCTACATGACCACTAAACTTAAGGCGGAAGTAAGGTATTTACATGTCTCCAGGACCTGAGCAGTCTCTTTCCTATTGGCTTCAGCAGGTAACAATGAGGGATGATGTCAGTGATCTCAGGTTAAATCTCCTTTCCCCGCCCCTCCAAGCTCCAAGGCAGTTTGGCCCCAGGAAAACACTATCCAGGGTGGGCAGTGCCTAGGCCCTTGTAGTCAATATTGGCCCCTCCTCAGACTTACTCTTGCGAGGATCCTGGCTGCCCTGTTTGTATCATTCCCGGCCAGAACTGGAAGGCAAAATGCAAGAGGCTTCAGGATTATGAGTTCACTTCAAAGCACAGTTCAGGATGCATGTGCATTGCAACCCCTGCTAAAGACGGTGGGTTCAGATCATCCGCCAGGTGCAATGACCCTCTCTAAATGCAGGTGTGGTCACTGCTGGGCAGAAAACTGCCATCTATGTCCTCAGCCTAGCAACCCAAGGCTCCTTTAGCTCCTCTTCCAGATAATCCCCACTGGCAGGGACAGGCAGCGACACCTGGCAGCGATCTGGGTCTATTGCAGGGCCTTCGCAAATATTTTCATCTGACTGCTCTACCCCTGCCCTTCTCTTCCCTCTCCATTCTGAATGCTCCCTGTGTAACATGCTGCTGCCTCAGCTCACAGCACCGAAGGCCCAGCCAGGAAGAGGACAAAGCTCAAAACAAGAGGCCAGCCAGGAGCTCCAAACAGCAGTGCAGACACCTCCTTTGCTGTGAGTTTTCCTGGGGCTTTTGGTACCTGCCTCCAGCAGGAAGTCAGCACTATGTAAAAGAAGTCAGAGAGCCCTGGGTTTGAGTCCTGACACCATTATCCATGTGATTATGATCATGTTCCCAAACTCTTGTTTTGTTTCTAAGTAACCTCAGTTTTCCCATCTGTAAAATGGCAATAACAATAAGAGGCATTAAGGATTATAATGAAGATTAAATGGGACCATAACATTTAGTGTCTCAGTCCTTGGTAGGTACAAAATGAAAATGTTAACAGAATTCTTTGTTCCTTTAGGGCAGTGGTTCTCAACCTTCTGGCCCTTTAAATAGAGTTCCTCATGTTGTGACCCAACCACAAAATTATTTTCGTTGCTACTTCATAACTGTAATGTTGCTACTGTTATGAATCATAATGTAAATATCTGATATGCAGGATGGTCTTAGGTGACCCCTGTGAAAGGGTCGTTCGACCCCCAAAGGGATCGCGACCCACAGGTTGAGAACCGCTGCTTTAGGGGCTAGCTGCCATAAAGTGACCCTGAGGACACAGGAACAGAGACCAGGGACTAGGAAAAAGAGCAAAAGAGGCAGATCACAGCCCAGGAGGGCACGGGAAAAGTGATACTTGATTCTATGTCTTCAGGGACGAAGGCTCCCTCCATTCCCCCATCTCTCTCTCACTCCCTGGCTCCCTCCCTTTCTTTCTTTCGCCTTTTTGCACCCATCATCAGTTCCCCACAAGGTGGTTCTCTCACACCTGACCAAATCATAACAAGTGCCAGGTGGTCAGTTTCATGTTGGCCCATGGTGACCCCATGCCTCCAGGGCCATCGTTTCTGGATGCAGCCGTGACTCACCCCCGGTGCCCCTGGGAAGGTGGGGCGTGGAATCCCAGGCAGCCCCAGCTTGTTGTGAATGGCAGTGGCCGAGACGATCTGGGCTGAGGACATGGCGGCCATGTGCTGAAGGGCCTTATCCTTGGCAGTCTGATCCTTGAAGGTGACAGTGATACACAGACTTAATACGTAACGCATGGCTACCAGGCAGCTCACACAGGCACAGCCACGAGCACATGGACTAAAATACAGAGCCACAAAAGAGGCCGGGAAAGCAAACATGCACGGATAAATAAACACAGCCAGAAGGCCAAAACACACGGAGCCTACTGCTACTCAGAGCATTTACTGAGAACACCCAGTGGCAAGGTTTAAAAAATAAATTTTTTTGTTAATCTGTTTTCCAACAGAATGGGAAGCCTCTGAGAAGAGTGAACACTGTATTTATTTTTCCAGCTTCCAAAGGGAGACTTCTCCAATTACTTAACACACTCAAGGAAAAAAGGGCCCTGCTCTCAAGCATATAGATAGGGGAGGAGGGTGGATCTGGGATAGGGCCATCCAGAGCGCCAGGAGGCCCTGACTGTGTGTGCTATCAAAGGGCCACAGTGCCAGGAGCTGCTGGAGTCATGCGAGGCCTGGAAGCCCTGGCAGACGCCTGGTCGGGAAGGCTCAGAAGCAGTGGGGCGGGGTGTGGGGGGGGGGAGGGAGGATGGGCAGGGTGGTGACTGATGGGCCAAGCAGCATGCTGGCGGGGCGCATGCTCTCTCAGGTATCCCACCGCGAGAAGGCTACATGGGTTCCATCTGTAGCCAAGGACACAGGGGATGCTATCAGGTAAGTACTTTCTCCTTTTCCTAAGTGGGTCTTCTCTAGGAAAGCCAAGGCTGATAACACAAAGCTAGCCAAAAAGTCTGCCAAGCACAGCTAAAATACAGAATACTCAACTGGTGAAAATACTTACCATGCTTGTCACCTGGATACAACAATAAACAATTTGTTAAAAAGAATGCGTACAAAGGCAGGGTTATTTTTCTTCTTCAGTTAAAAAATATAAATGTATATAAACACACAAACCTGGGTTATAATAAAATGGGTAGGAATGTGGGTTGTTTTTTTCTTCACATTTTTGGAGGAATGTATGACCCACATAACTATCTAGAAGGTCAACTACCAACAACTACAACAATGAAAAAGTACCCCCCATTCCTCCCAGCTGGTTCTGTGGCTCCCCCAGCACAGATGGGAGAAATGGCCACAGCCCTGGTGGGGGACAGGCCCTAGGGATGCAGGCAGGGCTTCATGCTGGGTACCATGTCAAGGTCCCTGGCTGCTAGCAGGAAGTCTATAAAACTACCTGGCCCCAGAATCCATGAAAGTGGGAACAAAATGGTGACATCAAAATAAAAAGATCGCCCTCCGCAGCTGCCATTCAGAGTTCAGACAGTGAATGAAGGCCAAGGCAAGCTTCGGGTAAGACAGAGTACCAGCAGAGAGGTGGCTGCACTGTTCACAGATTCACCCAAAGGTGGTGAATAAACATGCTGAGGTGCCAAAGGCAAGGCCAAAAGAAGTTAAAAAAAATAAAAATAAAAGCCTATAAGATAATTTCTAGGGGCTTCTAAGAAAGACCAATTAGGTGTCCCCCAAGTCGGATAGACACAACTTTGCCCCATAACTGCCAGGAATATGAGTTTTCAAAGTTTATATTAACCCTTGAAAAAGAGCCTAACACTTGCATAAATTTTTATAATATTTTATCTGTGTGTTTTTTTGGCTTTTAACTGAAAAAATAATGAGGCTCATGGGACGGCTCTTGGGGGATGCACTCAGTCATTATAAGCATCTGTATGGTCGTGTGCTGCAGCTGAATAACACACGAGGACCCTGCAAGCTTGCAGGGCTACTGGTCCCCAGTGGAAGGACCATGGTGACTAGAGTGAGGCTTTTGCCACTCTGGTCAGGTGTCATTCTTCTTCAGATTGTAGCTACATTTATTTATCTGCTGAGTGCCCTAACCTAAAGCTATTCCTCTGGTAACTTTTTAAAATCTGAAACGTTTCAGATTCTAAGATGTCTGAAAAAAGACAAATCTTGAAGTCTGTGGAATTTTATGATAAACTGACTGGCTGTGTACAAATGCCCCAAAGCCAAACTGAGCCTCACACACACACTGATCTCAGCCCCGGGTGGCTCACCTGCTACCTGCCCCATCACCCTCTCAGAGGGTGATCCGTGGGTAACAAACAGAAAACATGGCTTTAGTCATGCTTCCTCTCTTCTCTGTCAAGAATACAAACGCACTGGTTTCTCTTTGGGACAGTCAATTTGGACTCCAGTCCCCATGCCACTTATCCCTAATGAGAGGTTATAAACGCCCTCAAGGTGATTTCTGAAACTGAAGTAATGGCATAGGTATGGCCACAGGTGCCTTCCCCAACAGGGAACAAGCCTTAGCTTCCCCAGGGCTCAGGCTAGGGTTTCTGGGAAAATGGCAGCCCAGACTTCCTGCTTGTCTAGCTGACGCAAATTCAGGAAAAACTACAAAAGAGCCGTAGGCTTGGGTCTATTCCAAAAGTACATCACAGGGCTCTCTCCGACCTGAGCGTTCTGTTTATGGAATGCTGATGACAGGAGCTATTCTGCTCGCCCCAACACAGAGCGGGTTTGTGCACAGTTGGGTGGAGTGACTCACCCATTGAAAGCCCAGGTCCAAGTGGAAGTGAGCTCCCTACATCTCCATAGCCCACTCTTAATTCTAGTCGAGTTTGCTAGGCTGATTAAAAAGTTCCTCAAAATGTTCATGAGGAAAGTTTGATACTTCTTATTTAACAGGGAAATCGGGAAAGGAGAAATGTCACCAGCTTTGCTGTTTATGTCACAGCTTCAGAACATGGTCTTTTTCTTTAGGTAAATAAAGTGGGACTGTCTTATTACCCAGCATGCCATGAGGTACCTGAATGAAACAAAAGTTCCAAAGCAGGAGAGCGAATTCAAATGCTTCCATCACACCAAGTTGATCTGTGCCAGGAAAAGGCATCCTGGCCGAGGAGTCGGGGACCCGGCTCTCTATCTGCCTCTGCCTCATGTTAATGGGGTGCATTACCTTGGGCAAGTCACTTAATACTCTCCCCTTGTCTACAAAATAAAGATTTAAACTTTATTCTCTCAAGTCCTTCTGGTTATAAAATTGAAGCTGTGAGTGTGAGTTCCATCATAAGCAAATACACTTTAATGCATATAACCAAAAAACTGCTAGTGAAAAGACAGCCGAATGTTAAAATTTGGGCAGGGCTTGGCCGCCTATCCTAATAGAGAGAAAGCCAAGTGTGGAGAGGAAATTGTATCTCAAGTAGAGGTTATTTCTGTACTTGACCTACCTACTTGAGAATAGGCAATTTTCTGCAAATGGACTACAATGTCTATACCAGTGATTTCCTACCTTTTGTAGTGGAAACGCTCTGATTACTCATTTAATTTCATAACATCTCTCCTTTATAGATGATATACATTTAAAAACTAAAAGAATGAAATTTTTGTTGTTGTTTAAAATCTAAAGTAACCCTGCAGATAATAAGCTCCACCAGGGAAAATCAGAACTGAGAGCCTGGCTGCAAAGCCACTTATCCTGAAATGGGAGGAAGGAAGGATGCCAAGCAAAGAGATTTCCATGGAGGGATCTGTAAATTGTCATTTTCGGCCGAGAGAAACAGGCCTGGCTTGAAGAAATGATAACTGTAAGTGTCAGGCCTGAGTAAATTGCTTCTCTGTGTCACTCTAGTCTAATATCCTGGACTTTTAAACATTCTACTCTATCCTTACTACTCATCTCCCTAGATTATAGGGGGGAGGGTATGTTGCTAATCTACTCAAATACTGGAGCTACAGTAAATTCAAAAATATATGCTACCTTTGTACACCATATTAATTTTATTCTAAAATGTTTTCACACCAACAGTTCTGGGACGTGAATGAGATTTACAACAGATGAGCACACTGCTGTATCTTGAAAAACTGATACAGTTTTAAGTCAATACTGAGTTATCATCTATGATGTCTGAGGTTACAGGAAACCCTCAGAGTGTGGATGTACATAGGAGCCTGCATGTACAAGACAAATGTGTCTGAGGAAAAAGCTTGGACAACTTCATACTGACACCTTATTGCTGATTTTAAGCCCATCTATCCCTAAGATGACAAAGAATGGGGCCACAGAAAGCTGAGTATTGGGGGAATAAGAAAAGGTAACTCTTCCTTTCCAACTGAACCCTAAGTCAAGCCTGTGACCTGGACTGTGGAAAATGTTTATGAAGCAGGCAACATGGGTCTAAGACTGCTGATGGGTTGCTAGGATCGAATGGCCCATCTGACCTGAGAATGAGGGCAGACAAAGCACTCTAACTTGGGGTGCATGTCTCAGGACCCACTCCTCTCCCCTCCCTGCCCAACTTCTGGCACCCCACGGTATCAATGGCCTCACTACCCCAGTCACATGGGGTCTGGCAGGATGTGCCACTCAGAAACGCCTCAGCCCAAGCTTTTCACATCGTTATTGTTACTAAGTAAACAGACTTTCATATTTCACGAAGCAGAGCAAGGCTGCTGCTACAATTCTGGGTTCGGCTGACTGCCTCCTTCTAATGGTTGAAAGTACGAAAATGTCTACATGTAATATACATGACGGGAAGGCAGCTGCATCACAGATGCACATATCGGAGTGGTGTGCTCCCAAAAATCAAGGACATTTTATGAACTGGTTTCTGGATAGTTTCTTTCTAGCGTTTTCCTTTTAATCAGTTCCTTTCTCCTTTGCTTCTCCGGCTTCTTATTTTTCTGGGGAATCAATTATCTCATAATTCATAGGCATTAACCATAAACAAACAAAGATAAAGTACAAAGGTCACAGGCTTGCATGTACAATTTTATAGCTGTCATATATGGAATTTTAATGAACAGCCTTCTAGGCCAATATATTCCAAACACTTTATCCAGGGCCCATCATTTCAGAATTTAAGGACTCCAATCTAATTTATTCACATGGAAGTCTACCATTTTAACAGGGAAAATGCATACAGTTAAAAAAAAGACCATGGATTCAAAAACTCTTGATAGCTATTAAATGTTTCCCTCCAAATATACTTTTTCCAGCAATATAAAAATATAGTGCAAGAGAGGAAAGACAGCAATTTGCTTGCAAAATCACTTTTGCAGAAAAAGATAAAACACAGAATACTTCCCTAAAAGTAATTTTGCAGATGCTGTTTCTAATCTTGCACTCTGTGAATTCGCATGACTTCTGCAATTATTAGCAGTAGCCCCTGAGCAGATAAACATCACAAAACTCTCTGAGAGTTCTGGAGAAAGGATGAAGGGCACTTGAATGCTCCCAGCCATGATCTCCAATTTGCTTATTATTAGAGGAAGCAGGAGTAAATACAAAAGGGGCTATTTCGGTCAGGCAACGGCCAATGGGGAGGAGAGAAGGCACATTCACACCCCTCCTGACTTCCCATGTAACGAGGAGCAATTAATTCATCTTATTGTGCTTCCAAATGCCAAAGACTCCATCCACATCAAAGAAAAATGTGTCAAGGCTTTGACTATTGTTCATTTTTAAATGCACTGAGCTATATTTAGTATTTTATAATTGTCAAGTGTTTCCTTTCATTCTGATATGGAGCTCAGCAGCATTATGGATTGTAGATGAGGATCCAGGTGATTTGTAGGTATGCCTGATGGTTCTCCCCCAGGAAGCCTGGGATTTAGATCAGCTAATGCCAGGTCTGGGTGTGGAGAGAAGGCACCCTTCTGACATTAGTCCCCTTTCCCTTCAGGGGTGACAGCAAGAGGCCAGGGGTAAATCTTCCCGGAAAAGCCAGAGGAACCTAAGCAGGCAGCTGGCTCAAGGTTAGCTCCAGACTGAGGACCAACTCCCAACACTCACCTTTTCTGTTTAATCCAAACATCCAGACACAA